AATGTTTCAAGACAAATGTTACAAGCTTCATGGGGATGGATGGGGATAAAGTGAAATAGATTAAAGAATCTGCAGATATCCTTCTTGGGCTTCCAGAGACATTCTACACAAAAGCATTTAGCTTTGTCCTCAGTTACTCTGCCTCACAAAGACAATACTACAATACAACTTTGTGTAGCAGACTCACCTGTTGATTGAATCATTGTATCACAGACAGAATCACTTGGTGGAGCAATTGTAACGCAATAGAAAATCATATGTGAGTAGGGCTTCTTTTTAGTCAAACAGATGTTGCACCCATCGCGGCCGCCAACACACTCTGCTCAAGCGTCACTGTCCCAAATCTCCGCCTTGCCATACGTTCCTTACCTTTCTTCTGATCGTTCCACTTCTTTTGTTTTCGGGTGATATCACCAGCGTGAATCTTGGCGGTCACGTCCTTGCGGTAGGCCTTGATGGTTTCCCGCGCAATAATTTTGTTACCAATGACGGCCTGAAGCGGTAAATCGGTCGACGACCGGTTAATGTGTTCTTTGAGAATACTGAGGATGCGGCGACCTCGGATGTGGGCCTCTTGCGGCAGGCAGATAAAGGAAAGTGCGGATATCTTGGCTTTGTTAATGAGAATATCCACCTTCACGAGATCCGTGCACACGTACACGGGATCATCATATTCGAGTGTAGCATGTCCCTTTGAGATACTCCTCACCAGAGAAAAAAAACCTCGCGCGAGTTCGGCGAGGGGCATTTGGTAACGTACAAGCACACGAGTGTCGTCAACCGCCTGTGTGTCCTCTTGTTCCGCACGGTAGTCCGATAGGGCGGCAGAGTTGATTTCAGAGAGAGAATCCTTTGGCGTAGTGACGGTGACGTGCACCACGGGCTCCAAGTAGGCCTTCACCCCTTCATGCGGCCACCTCCAGCTCGCGACGGTGAGGGGGGATCGTTGCCGCAAATCCGCCGGGTCGCCCCCATGTCGCACGCACTGGTACTGGACCTGTGGCGGGGTGACCAGCACGGCCTGGCCGAACTCGTCAAGCAGGCGTTCCTTAAAGACCTGCAGGTGGAGGAGCCCGAGGAAGCCGAGCTGCAGGCCCGGCCCGAGGGTCTGGCAGTGCACTGCCTCCACCGTCACGGCGGGGTCGTTCACGCAGAGCAGCTCCACCGCCTCTCGGAGTGACTCGATGCGGACCCCCTCGTCGGGGTAAAAACTCGCGAAGACCGCGGGTTGGGCCGTTTTAAAGCCAGGAATGGGGTGTACGATGGCCGGTCCCTTTGTCGAACACGATTGGGTATCGCCACTCTCGAGTGCGGTTTCGTCGTCGTGGGTTCGTCGCTTGGGGTCCTTTGTCTCCGCCGGGGAGGTGGGGGATTTGGCATCGTTGACCGGGTGCGCCGCCAGCCGATAGCGCCGGGTTGGTACCGTACAGAAGGTATCCCCGATGAGCACCTCTCCTCGACGTAGCTCAGGGAAAAAGAGGTAGCCTACCATGCCTGTAGTCAAGGCGGGCATTGGGTGCAAGGTTGGGTGAATGATCCCCACGCTCGCCACCTTGTATGTTTTACGCGAGTGAAAGAACGTGACGACCGTACCGGGTGTTACCGTGCCGTCTATAACGCGCACCAAACAGTAAATGCCGTTCCTTTCAACGGCGCCGCCCCCGAGAAGAGGACTGGATTCATCTAAACTGGCACCAAAGCGTTTACCGTTCATCCCACCGCTTTCCACGGTCCAGCAATCGAAGAGAAGGGCCCGCAGCGGCACGAGGGCCTCTGCCGCAAGCCTTTGCTCCTCGCCATCTGGGTGCATCGGGGGAAGTTGCTTCATATCCGATAGACCATACAGACCACGTGGGGCAGGTACTCGTTCAATAATACTCTGGAAAAACGCCTCTAGGCCTCTTTTCCCCTTTGCACTGGTGAAGATCACCTCGCGGCGCAGTAGCCCAGTGCTGTCCTCTAGCTGTGTGAGGGTCCGTTCTACGACACTGCTACTCATCACTTGATCCATCTTTGTTAAGACTGGAATCACGCCGAGGCCCTGCTCGAGTGCAGTAAGAAAATGTGTCATAGTCTGAGCCTGCACGCCTTGATTCACATCCACAAGCAACGCAACCCCCTCAGAAGCATACAGACTTCGGGAGACTTCATACTGAAAGTCTATGTGACCGGGCGTATCGATAAGATTGATTAAAAAAACTTCCGAATCTGCACTGCCTTCTTTGCATTGATCTTGAGCCTCGTTTCCATCGCTGAGATGCTTAAGGGAGGGTTCTACATGAGGACTGCGACGCCGCTTGAGGAAAACTGAGCAGGTCTGAGCTTTCACAGTAATACCGCGTTCTCGTTCTACCCTCAAGCGATCAGTAAATGTACCCGTTTCCCCATCAGCTGGTAACACCTCTGCCTTGTGTAGCAGTGCGTCCGTCAGCGTAGTCTTACCATGGTCCACGTGTGCAATAATACTCACGTTACGGATGTTTTCCAACGGAAAGGGTTTAAAAATGCGTTTTTTGGGTTCTAGGCAGCTGGTCGAGGAGGCACCAAATGTCTGTAGACGGGGATCACCAGTCAGCTCACCTGCATCTGGTGGAATATCATCAAATGAATGCACCATTGAGAAGCTCATTTTATCGTATGGGGATATTGCTGTGCTGGAGAAACTACAGGATGACTGGTAAAAAGGACTCCGAAGGGTATCTGAACGCCAAGTACGTACCGATAGCAATGGAAAACCCACAACACAAGCATCCGCCACTCTGGAGAAGCAAAAACCCATGCGGTGTAGTGTGAAATGTGTTGCTACCCCGCCAGAGTGCGCCCATCGATGAGGGGTAACTACATTCAACCTAGTTCGCCATATCTGTAGATTTTTGCACTGCCTCCACAAGCAATACTTCACAAAGTACTCTCTGTTAATCATTTTTTGCAGCGGTAGATGCCCTCCTTTTCGGATACGACCCTTTCCTCACACAATCGTCTTGTTAGACTATGGGTCGCTACCCCTTACTTCATATTTGAATAAGAAAGATGAGGAGTAGAATTTACATAAATATTTAACAGATGCATCCTTTTTTGCTACTTTTGTGTATGCACAATTCCCCCACCCTCCCTTTCTGAATAATAATAATAATTACATTTCCGGATACATCCATTGCTTTGAGGGAAATAGAATTTCTAATACCATGAATCAAAATGAAAAACAAGTAATTTACATCTCTTTTTTTTCCATCCGTTTGGATGGTTACTGAGTTTTTTTTCGGTGCTCGGATGCCTGAAATACGACTACAGACACATAAAATACTGAACGGCACACCTTCCCCGCATGTCATGTTACTTTTATTGTGCATGATGAAAAATAAAGTCAAAAGCACAATCTTGACATCACTGTCAACAGTTTCATGCTTTATATTTCTAAAGCGAATATTTTCGTCACAGCGTTTCTGCAAAAGAGGTACCCCTTACAATTTGGCACGCCGCACGAGTGGGACAGGAAAAATGGTGAGGAGCTACAGGAGAGATTGCCTATTTTGATGCCTTGAAGGAACATCCCTTGTCTAGTAAAACCAGTTGAAAGTCCATAGACCTTTGAATTCAGGTTTGTATCAGACGGAGAAAGTTCCCACTGACTCTTAAAAAAAGAGCCCTACACGTCCCTCTTTAGGCGAGCAAAAGATTTTGACATCAAGATATCGTAACGTGTCTTACAGTGAGTTTGGCTGCTAATGTGTATTCTAGCCAAGCAGGATTCATGTTTTCAATGGGAACTTTGGTGGAAAAGCTGCCTACGCAGATTCTCTGCGATTTCTGATATGCATATTGTTTCCTTGTCCTTCACATTGGATGCAATAGTGCTCCTGACTTTACCCGGTTTGTTTGAAACGTCTTTAGAAAGACGTGTAATGAGAAATCGATCCAATTTCTGAGTTTGATACGTCTGCTCAAGATTGTATCCCAAATTTATCAGCTCGCAAACCTCCTGGCCACGCTTCAATACGTCCTGGAGGATGCCACGCAGGTAACGACGGTCGGACGTGGTGGGACGTATTAGCCCTGAGTCGGGCTCGATGCCGCTTTGGTGTGTCACTGAATATTCCGGCAAGCAACCTTCGTCCGTATCGCCCATATTTTGAAAGACATTCGCCGTGCTAGACATCGCGAGACAGAGCTCATCGATACACAAGCAAGGGATAGAAGCCATCACTACTATATGAGACCGTTCGGCAGAAGTCAATGGCAATTCGTCGTTTTCTACCATCGTCATAATAGTATCAGCTGGATTCGTGGCTGAAAGTGATTCCTTTTCTCCAGCACCGTTTACACTATGCAACAGCACCGAATTGCTCTGACAAAAAGCAGGATACCCGGCATCCTTTGCAACAACAGTGCTTATTAAGCGCTCAAACCCCAACGCAGCCAGACAGCTGTAGACTTTTACGCCTAGTACAAGATGTTCCTTTAGCCATACACTAATCGCCTCCGTTACAAAACTAGCATTCATGGTGGGCTTAGTATTCAACCACGTGAGAGTTTCATTCAGCGCAAGCTCTTTTTCTTCATCGGATTCAAACCAATCCTCGACTACTGCGGCACCGCCGTGGTCGGTGGTAGCCACTCCCTCCCCTCTGCTGGGAACCCAACGGCCTTCTTTTACGAAGACGTAGTATCGCAATAAGGTCGCGTTGTTTTCCATCCGCTCCTGAGCACCAGGACACGACGGCTCCCTTGCGTCTAAGTTCGAATTCGTCAAAGAGGGCGCGCATGTGGTGTAGATCGATGACGGTAGCAACCCAAGAGCCACTTTCCGATGTACTAGGTGGCGAATATATCCTTGACGCAGAATCATGTTTATCTTCTCGCGAATGAAAACACGGAGCAAACTCAAACCAGCGATGGGCTCCTCCAACGGCCCCTCGCTAAAACTCCATCTTTTACTGCGCACATCGCTTCCCTTACCAATGAATGTATGTTCGGGATCATTTCTTTGAGGGCATGCAAAGTTTTCACGTAGGGCAAATTCCCAAACAGAAACAAGGAGTTGTACCGCATTTATACCAGTATCTATGCTATTTGGTTTGATAAACTTTTCGTCTCTTGCTTGAAGCCTCCGGCTACGCCATAACATGAAGTGTTCACGGGCCATGACATTGGTATTGAGCAAATCGGATACAATCGTAAGAATATATCCTAGTAAATTTTTACAGTAGGAAATGAAATTATGAACCGGGCTTTCAGAATATTTTGTGATTCCTGTCTTCAATTCCATTCGCAGTTGCTCAAGTCCAGCATTCAGAAGAGGAGAGTCTTTTGCCATAAAGCTGCTTGCAATTATGGTAGGGGCATTCTCAAAAGTTTTCGAATGAAAAGTGTCGTCCTTACAGCCTCCGGCAGGCTCGGGGTTCTTTACAGGATGTGAGCCCACGATGCCGGAGGCAACTGCCAATGCCTCAGCAGCATCCAATAGCACAAATACTCCTTCGCTTTCTATGAAAATGCCCGCGGTATTGTTGTTCGTTAAGATGAAATTCTGGAGTACATGCAGAAGCGACGCCAACAACGGTCCGTAGCGAGATAGGCTTTCATCCAGTGGAGGCAGTACGGATCGTTGCTGCTGCTGAGAAAGGGTGGACGCAAGACCTGTTACATTTAGGGCATTTCGTGGACACGGTGAAAGAATTAATTGAATCCAGTTTAGAAGCATGTCCACTCCACCAGAGTTAGAAAAGTTGTTGAAGTAACTAGAATGTTCTGCCGAGTGAAAGGTTGCTAGATCGTCTTCAGGAATAGTTTTTCGCATCGCATTGAGATCAACCTTTTCATCCTCTGTGCCGGACTCCTTCCCTGGTGTGATATTGAAGACCTCAGATTCATTCCAGGAGACCGAATTCGCAACCTGCGTAGGGATAAGATCGAAGGCCCTTGTCTTAGGGCATGCACAAGGAACCGACAACGTCGTGCTAGATTCCACGAAGGGTGGTTCCTGCTGCTCCGGATAACCAAGGCGGTGCCGCGTTTGTTTGACTTCTTGAAATTGATCACTACAGGTCTCAGCGATAGCACCCAGGTTCTTGAGTAAATCCAAGAGCAGCAGTGTGGTGTCCAAGGCGGTGTCAGGGAGGAAGAAGACCGAATTCGGATCTCTTTCCTCAGAGTTCGTAGCCATCTTGGAGCCTCGTAGTTCTTCATAATTAGGCTTAAACGTGAAGTTGTAGTGGCATCGAATGTCCTGCAGCGAATTGATAACGACTCCAATCAGATTTGGCATCCCGAGAAAGGCCTCGGCGATACTTGTTCCGGAAATACCACTGCGCGACAAAACCGCCAGGAACGTTAAGACGGCCTTGCATAAGGGCTCACGCAACCGCTCCGGGTTGATCACCACGCCTTCTAATTCCTGTTGATTCCGAGACTTTGAAGACACACTCCCAGAAGCATCAAGATATCGCATCGCGCACGAAATACCACCCATGGAAACAATATAATCGTCAAAATTGTAGTTGTAATGATCACCCGCAAGGCTCTTCTCAGTGGACCGGATCCGTCCTCTGCATTCGTTCATGAAGATACAAGCAGGAGTCTCTGAAACTCCATGATACTCTGCCCCAAGGAAGAAGTTCTTTTCCTTCAAACTCAAAAATAGTTCACGTAGGCGGTGGGTATGGTTGATCAGGGCCGTCAAAAGCTCCCACGACTCCAACTGCAGTGCCTCGACATCCTCACCAGTTTTCAATAGGCCTTTCTGTGTGTTTATATTTTGGCTTAGGGTGACAGCCCCAGAAGCATCAGCGTCCTGGACAGAATCCGAACTTCTATTAATATGCATGAACAAAACGTCTAGAAATCCCATAGAGCACAGGTCTAGGAGAAAATAGCCCTCATATATCGCTCCTTTATTTTTCTGAAGGGAATCTAGACCAATTTCCCTCTGCAGAGCAGCAACTTCCGCGTGAACAGACTGCCATTCCATAAACCGTTCCAACACTTCCCAACCTAAACGCTTCAGATATAACAGTTCGCGCCGCATATCCCGGGAAGACATTGCTGTAGTTTTGGGTAAGTGAATGGACTGCAACATCAAGGATATCTTCTCTGAGGCATCCTCGTTTGCTACGTCTATCAGTGGCGAATTTTGATGCCTTTGGTTCACATTTCGTTCACAAGCACCATTACCCTTGACACTATTGCAGGGTGTTCGTCTCGACGTTGCACTTTCGCAGAGGCTGGAAAGTGTCGCGTCCATAGCCTTCCACACACTATGACGTTTGATGGAGCTGTTTAGATCGTCTTTGCACACTGCATTGAAGACGAGAAGCATGCACGCGTTGATAGCATCAACAGTGAGCGGCGAGATGCCTCCAGCCTGCGGTCTATCCTCCTTAGTGTTCCCATTAGCGGGCCATATAGTCTTTTGCAGCCCCATCAGAATCTCGGTATCGCAGCGTAGTACAGTTTCGACGAATAGGAGCATGTCATTAAGCAGCTCAAGCCGGTTTTGTGAGTGTAGTGTTGTGAACAAGCTAAGCATAGTGTGAAATATATAATCAAACGGTGCACTCGTGATAGAATCATTTAAAGAATTCTTCTGTAACACCGGTTGAGGTGAGTCATTGATATCGAGGAGAATACGCGAAGTGGCGGACGGCGTCATATCAAGCAAGAGCGATAGAAGATCCACGCAGAGTGAAGTCACCCTGCTCTGCGTATTAACGTACCTGCCTAGGGTGTATACTGTCAGAATAGGAATTGTAGACGGAAACTGCGCAATGTCTGTGTGATTCCCTTTTCTAGTGTTTTCTCTTTTGGACTTAAGAGAACTCTCCCTGCAATCAAATGCCTTTTTAGCGCTCGAAAGGAGCTTCTCAAATGTCTGCAATACTGCTTTTAGTTCCTCCTCAACACTAACCTTGCTTTCACGTTGTGTTTCACCAGTGCTACTTTCAGACAGATATGCGACCTTACTTACGCTAAACTTTGTCATATCATTTTCTTTTTCTGGAGTTATGCGATCACGAAGCTCGTGCGTTTCTGAATCGCTTTTAATCAACAACGAGTTCCAGTAGACCACAAGAAGGTCCAAGGCGCAGCTTCGATCTAGCTCCTGTTTTAATTCTTGGGCTTCGCCCTCTTCAGTACATTCCTTTTTGGGTTGCAGTAAGTAATCGAAAAATTCAGATAACGCAGTCGACTTTGCGGATAGGGAAGGGTCACAATCCCGTCGAAAGGGTATGGAAACTCCTTTTTTGCCTCCTTTTCGTTTCCCATTCTCTTTCTGAGTTGACGAATGAAAATGTGCAACATCACACTGAGAATGAAGTTGGGCGATGAGGGATCCCATCGCACGGAGCGCCGCTAAATGGAGCCTCTGTGCAATCTTAGAAGAAGTGATACATTGCTGAAAGGTCGGAGGCTTCGTCACAACAGCGTCCTGGTGTATTGTCTGAAGCGATTTAATTTCTTCCCTTACGAAACTATCCATATGATTTGCCGAAAGGGGTGAGAAGTACGCGCTTACATCAGAAATTACCTGTGCAAGTGCTTCAAACAAGTAGTAAGCAGCTTTGCTTAGGATTTGTTGATCTTCTAGAGTCAGCAGAATCAACGGTTTTGCGCAGAAAACAAGAAGCATTTCTAGTGCCTCCGCTATGTAATGTGGATACTGATAAGGGAAATTTCCGTCCGAAAATGCCGCCGGCGTCGCTGTAGTGTTTTGTGGCAGATTATACGTTTTTGTGCTAGGCTTGCCTGCATGGGTTGCATCCGTGGAATAGGAACCTGACATTGCTTCAGCAGAATTGATACGATGAGCTGTGTTTTGTCGGGACGCTAACATATCTAAAGACTTTTCTGAAATGTCATCTTTTGGGGCTGGACTGATGTTTGGTGTAGCAGTGCACGGACACGGCCAAGAGGGGAGCGCGCGGGGCCGGTGCACCAGAGGTGGAAGAAAGGACTCTGGATGGATGTTGGCGAAGTCAATTTGCGATTGTTGGTGGGGTGGGTCGTGCTTCGTCGGGATGGCACCGGAAAATTTTACTATCGTACTATCATGCAGCGTTGTGCGTTTTCCCGGATCTTCTCTAGCTACCATAATATCATCACGAGTGAGGTTGCTCTTAGCAGAGAAACGATTATTAGTTTCAATTGTTCTTGTAGCTTGCAGAGGATCCCCTTTGAGGTGAATAGATCTAGAAAGGACATAAAGGAGATCTGTCAAGCCTGCCAGAACAACTGATGGTGTAAGACCAAGCGCGGCATCACCGCTAAGCCACTCTTCAATAAGTAGCAACGGTCGGCGAGGGGCTTCTGCGTTCGTGGGCGTCTGCGTGATGGCATCCACTACCTCCCACACGGACTCAGTCAGGCGTTTTGAAATCGCTTCTCGAGATTGCTGAGGGTATTTTGAAGCAATCAGAGACATCTTCGGGGAGGTTCGAGGTGAAACCATAGTATCGTAGCGTTCTGTATGGGCTCTTTTTCCTGTGTTGGTATCATGAATGACTTTTTTGGTAATGACCATGGTGCATCTTGGTTTGCTTGCCGCATTGGACACCACAGCAATATCCGGCGTCACGGCGTATATCTCTGGTAAGGATAAGATGTTATTACCATTAGTCACATTGTGGGTGCTCAGATTAGCTTTGTAATTTTTTCCAGTAACCATTGAATATTGCACAAATATGTGAGATCAGGCCTTCTGAACTTGTTATTATATATATATATATTAATAATAATAATAGTAATTTACTACAGTTCAAATTCGTGCTGATTCTTCCCTATTATATTTTTGTTTACAAGGTTTATGCACCTTTGGGAGGAAAAAAACGAAGAGAAAATATATCTAATCATGAAATGAACTTAAATGAACATGATAAAGTAATTGTCAAGTATCTTAAGCATAAATTCTTACTAGGGTTGTCTATTTTATTGCATTAAACACAAAATGTTCTTATCAAGGCCTTCAATTTACGCATTTTCTCGATCTTGATCACGATGGAACTTGACACTCTTTGATAACGTTCATTGAAAAAAAACTCTGCTTATGTTTTAATAACTAAATTCAGCTTTATGAAACCCGGTACATACAGGAAGGAAAAATAAATTCGTTTTCAACGTCAGTAAAGCATTTTCTCCTCAAAATCCATTTTTTTAATTTCTTTTTTTTTTTGAGAGGTTAAAAACTAGAAACGAACGCAACTGTTTATCAGGTGGGAGAGATTTCATGCTCACAAATGACTCTGTCCATTTTAACTTACTAAAGGTCTGTTTCAACGTATTACAGCAATTTTAATACGAGCCATCCGCTATAATGCTTTTCTCTCTCTATATTTTTGATTAATTAATTTCCATTAAGACTCCTTTTTAACTCATTAAACGAGTTGACGGTTTGTGCACTAAAATGATTGTTAGCGGAGAGCATTAGCTGAATTTTCCAAATTATAACGATTCATTATTGTAAACCTCAGCTGATAATAATGAATAACAAACGTAAATCGATTTTCCTAGCCCTCTAATACCGGAAAAAAATAATGGAACCAAAGAGAATTGACAAATGCTTTGCACTCATTTCTCTGGGCTTAGTCAAAACTCATACAAAAACTAACCACTCGAATCAAAAAAAGCAAGAACGGGAATATTACGTTTTCTTAAACTTTTTGATACAGTTTATATATCGTTAGGATATATCGCTACTGCATGCTCCTGCATGCCTTACCTTACCCCTGATTTGTAGTATCCCTACATGTTAAGTTTTTTCCCTATTATAGTCGCAGGAAAAAACCCCATTATGACTTCCTCATCCTGCTTTTCGATTCCTTTTGATACACATATATGTATACATGTGCATATAAACATATATATACATATATATATATATTAGCGATTACGGAGAGACCTTACCCCCAGGAGCTGCGCTTGGGATTGGAGGAATGTAAGAATTTGTCGGGGAAAGTGCCGGTGATTGGTTAGAATGTGCAACATTTTGCCCACTGCGATGCCCAGGGTTCACAGCATTGTTGGCCACCACCACTTCCACTCCTCGTGCAGACAGATCTTGGATTCCATTAACTGTTGATGTAGTTCCTCCAGCAAGCTTATGGTCAATCACGACTTTACTTAAAGAGGGTAAATGTACCAAGGAACTTAGCTGTTGCACCCGTTGGCAGCCCTCAATGTAAAGCGCAGTAAGGGATTTGCAAGCGTTGAGCGTTAACAGCTCTGATTGATCGATTGCCGTATGACTCAGACGGAGTACCTTGAGAGAAGGAAGCACTGAAAGATCGCCGAGCTTGATAAGATTAGCACAGCCTTCGACATCCAACATCTCAAGCGCACCAAATTTCTTACTAGCCCCTTCAGCGGAGGTTAACCACGCCAGGGAAACCACTTCAACGTTGTCCTTGAGGTTGAAATTCTTGAGTGTTGTCACAGCCGGGAACTGTGAGACGTCGAGGTCCTCGAATTTAAACCCGTCCACGTTGAGGGTCAGCAGCCCATTGCCGATTTGCTTCATGACCTCCGTGACGCTTTCGGGCGCGATATTGCCCGAGTAGCGGCAGTACAGCAGCTTCAACTCCCTCAGTTTCCCAACACAGGAAATGTTAGTAATTTTGGGGCAGCTGTTAATGGCAAGTCGGCTAAGCTGACTGCAGCCGCCAGCAATCGCAATCAGACTCTCGTTGCCAATTTGACAGCCGGATAGGTTCAAATCGAAAAGAAAAGAAAGTTGCGAAAGTGGAGACGCGTCCGTAATGAGCTCGCAGCCGCAGAGGTTAAGCCGGCTGAGACGCTTATTGTATGTGCTGATTAACTTGACGGTAGAGTCGTCGACAAACTGTGTGCATCCCTGAAGATTCAGCTTCCATAGATTACGCAATTGAGACAATTGGTTGAGGTTTGAAAGGTTTTTGCAGCCCTTTAAGCAAAGTTCCTTTATCCATGGCTGCTGACAAGCCTGCTCGAGGGATTCGTTGGTGGCTCGACCAGGGTCCAGAGTTATCGTAGTAGATAGAGCTTGTGATGTGATCGGATTGAAAATACTATTTATACCTGTATTGGGCATAGTGGAAGTTGGGGAAAATAAGCGTGGATCGCCAGCACCGGGTACAGCGTTGGTATTTGCGAAGGCCATACCTTGAGCCGGCGTGGCAAAAGGACTGTGAAACGGCATTCCCTCCGCATTGATTGCTTGCTGTTGGATTGCGGATGTCGGAGAGGGATATAACCCTGATCCCAAGGCGGTGGGAGTTACTGCAGGAGTGCTCTGTCCCTGTAACATGGCTAATATAGCGTCATCACGCTGTTTCTGAGCCATGAGCATTGAAAGCTGCTGTTGCTTTATACCAAGTGCGGGAAGAATACCAAGTCTGTTAAGACTCTCTTCTACTTGCCGTGCACTAGGGCTCCCGTTGGGGTTGTATTGATCCTCCTCAGTCATACCAAACCCGTTCGCGTTGGGAAACCCTTGAGCCCAATAATACATCCTGGATGGCATAACATTTGAAGCGGTGGGCATTGCCACCTGAGCGGAAGGAGCAAACGTCATAGGAGAGGTTTGATTTTGTTGCGCTGTCCCCACCATCTGCCTCTCCAGCAATTCTACACGCATGGTCAGCAGCTGTACTTGAGCCTGAAGAGTTTCAACAGCCTTCCGTGTTGGCTCGAGCTTGTACTCTGAAGTAAGCTCTTTTTCGTTCGTATGTGATTCATTCATAGTAGTTTTATGCAGAGTATTTTTAAATGTCTGTGATGGAAAATTGTTAAGGGCGTTTGTTTAAATGAAAGAGTTGTGAGGATCAATGTATATGTCCACGTTAACTTCTTCCCTTCGAAGCACTAAGTTAGCTTTATTGGCCGCAGATTAACAATATTAAATCGTAATAATTAGATCTAGATGGTGTATTGCTAAAACTCCTACAAGTCAGTAAAATAGTAGGATTTTTGATTAAAAAACAAATAAATAAGGGTTTGCAATATTGTGCTTGTCTTGAAAGAAAATAATGAAACAAATAAATCCTAATAAAAGAGAATCAGAGAAGTCGAATGAATACTGGTCTCAAGTATCCGTCAATATTTTTCAGTACGATCGGATAATAGCGATAGTTGTTATGCAATCCTTAAAATGAATATTCATTCGAAAAGAATGTGCTATAGTCAAATGCTAAACGAATGATATACAAAATGTTTGCTGCGTAGTATAAATATAGAGTTGCCGCAAATCTTAACTGAAGATATTTGAAATAATATCTCAACGTTCGCAGAGAAATAACAATATCTTTACTTCACAAAGGGGCCCCAAATTTTCTCGTTTGAGATGGATCAGAGAAAAGATAACATATTGTGTATTAAGAATATAGGCGATTCTATGTTGCTATCCTTACTTTAGAACCATTTATAATAACCCTTACCTCTCCTTTTTGCATTGTATACCAATAGTTCACAAATCGAAGATTTCACGGAAGAAGGCCTTGCTCTTCGTGAAAATATATGAGACTAATATCAATAAATCGAACGAGTATTAATAAAACACTTAAAAAGGTTATAATAATAAAATCATGAGATAGCATTTAGTGATTGGCACGAGTTAAACATGTTAGAATGAATAAAAGTGATGCTATTAGAAAGTATAGTTTTAAGTCTTGTGCTATTTATAAAGTCAATTTGTACTACAAATATTATTTAATAAATTCCATTTTACATAAAATGATTATTGTATTATTTTCATTTTTGAGCAGAAATGTAGCAGAATAAGTAGTTCCTTCAGTGGATTAAGTTGTTTTTGGACACTATTATTATTTCTCTTTGTGACTGGAATAAGAAAACTTGGGGCATATATATTAATTATTCCCATTATTCATTTGATTTTACCCACAAATGCAAAAGTGTTTGGATGAACAATAGTCTCTTTAATATATTGCGAAGTCCAAATGCTGTAATTTATTCCTTCCAAATGAGAAAAGGCAAATTCCTCCGAGTAACTCTGGCTATTGTTAGAATTCATTAGTCCCCTATAATTATCATTCGACAATATTCGTGAAGCCAGAATTAGTATTCAGATGTATGAACATAATAAGGAATAGAGTTCAAGAACAAAAACACAATAAAAGCATGCTAAGGCGTACGATTAAAGGCAACGTCTTAAGGGAATACCTACGTACCCGACTCCTCAGAAACCTTTTTGGGTGGGCTATAGCTGAGTTTATTTTCATTCGGCGAACCTTCTTTTTGTGTTGACGTGCTTTCTTCCTCCGAAAGTAATGTAAATTTCTCCAACGTCTTGGTCGACTCGAGTGGGTTAAAAGAACAAGGTGGATGAGATGGGAAGAGAGCAAAATGATGAGAATATTAGTGCAAGTTCGGAAAAGGCCCCAAGGCAAACCGTATACCACCGTATGGCTTTATTTTTTTTGAATATTCCTTCTAATTTTACAATAAATATTCAACACGTGATTCTTACCATTTAGTGTCACATGGAGGGCCGCAACCTATGACTTTTATTTCCAAAGGGAAAGTACCCTTTTTCGCTAATGATTCGAACGTGAGGTCCTTTACTTCCCAGCCCTGTACTAGTAGTGTTGACGATTAAATATAATACATTTTCGCAGTGTTATGTGAGGGAGTACATTACCTTGAATATGAGAAAAAATCCATTTAAGGGGAAGCAGCAAATAGGGGTGAGGCTGAGTCTCCCACATAGAAATACACTATGATAACACATAAGAGATAGCTAAAGCATTGAGAATTAGCTGGAATTACTTATATAGATGAATAGTTCCGACCAAGTATAATCTTTAATACTAAAAATTATGGAAGGGTTTACCCACAACACTAAGCTTTGATTTTTTTCAGACGTTCTGTAAGACTAAATAATACGAGTAGTAGTTTAGAAAATACTCCGATGCTTCATATTATTCAAAAAAGATAGAAAGGACGCCTCAAAAGACCATTATGCCTCGATGCATCTTTTCGAATGTGATGGCATTAAGTTTCACATTTTATCCTCACTGATCACTGAACTGAGGGGGACACATCACGGGCATCATATATGGATTTCTGAAATATAATTTTTATTTTTAAAATTACGTCCTTGCCCCTATTTTTTGTCGCATCAAATATTAGCGCAAATCCTCAGGGTCTAATTCTTCCTCGACATTGCCAACACATGGGGGGGAGGCATCAACTTTATTGCTACTTTTTGGTACTGAGGCCTCTACAAAGCCACTTCCAATCTTTAGCTTCTTCACCATGCGCGATACGTCTGCCAGTAGGAAATTGAAGATTGTGTAGCTCTTGATAACTTCGCTGAGCTGATCAGGATCGCGTTCCTCATAGGCAGCCAGGAGTGCTGCTGCGGCTTGTTGCTCAGACGTTCCTTGGAAGCCAGATAACGTGCTCATGCGGTTAAACTCTTGCCGTGCCCATACGTCATCCCCATTGCAGCTCAGACACAGGACCACTACCTCCAGGCCCACTTTAGCTGCCCGATTCGGACATTTCAAGCGATAAATAACACTTTTGGACTCGTCGTATGCCCCATTCGATGGGGGGTTTGGGACGAAACCTAACATGCGCTTCTGTGCCTCCACAGCGGTCAATATATCACCCTGACGAATTGCTTGAAGGATGAACTCTTGGTAAAGATCGAGCAGCTTGTACGGCACCGTGTTCTCCTGCTCCCAGCTCATTTCTAGAGCCCTCATTGCATTTTGAACAAGGCGTTTGTACTCGTCAGTATTGTTTGGAGAACCAGAGGTAGGAGGACAAATGTCGCCACCAGTTTGTCTGCATTTATTAGTCAATTCCGCGCGGTTCTTCATTGCACGAGCTGCCTTGAGCAGTACATCAGCCTGCTTTTGATATTTAGTGTCTTCTTCATACAATTTGGCCGCGTCTTCAAAACATGCTATACCCTTGCTATAGTACTCACTTATTTGGTTGCCCTCATTTGCAGTTTCCACAAGAAATGCACCTAAGTTTTCCAAACAAGATCCAGCGGATGATGCATTGCGTGCATGTTGATAGGTCTGCGAAGCCTGTTGCCATGCATTCATAGCCTTTGGCACGCAGCATAGACCTGCATAAATCTTGGCTGCTTTGCAGAAGTCACTTGCAGCATCTTCATAATTTGGATTCCAGCAGAACAAACTTTTCTTAGTACGTTTCTTACCGCGATGCATGAGTGCATCCGCGTCAGATTCAGTAGACATTGTGAATAATGATAGAATTCGACTTCAAAGCTTTTTCCCACAGCAAAAGAAGATGAGATGCAATTATTGGAGGCATAACATACCTGAAGAGGAGTTGGATCACCTAAAAGCTTTTAATTTTCTACTAGTGTCATCATGATTTATACAAAATCTTAAACAAGTTTTGCATCGTAGTTTCTCCATCTCTAACTAGGGAGAAAAGGCAGACACGTACACACAGAATTAAGAAGGTTCGTCAAGCAACCAAATATATATTTTTATTCCTGTTGGTCTTTGTCTACTACATAATCGTGTGGTGTCACGACTATATAGTAATACTCCATACCTTTGAGCTTACTATATTCCATTTTTTTTTTTGACATCGTTCGAGAGGGGGGGGAGAAAGACCATTCCTTCCAAATGTAGAACTTCCGGAAGGAATTAAATTAAAGGCAATTCTCACATATATATATATATATATATATATAGATATAGATATACATTTCATATTGCGCAGGCAATTTTGCTTAAATACACAAACAATACACCTCCTACTACATTTCTTTTCTTAAGCTTGACTCATTGGCGCCATCAGCATCAATGTTGGTACTGTTAATAGGGGAAGGCAATGGGGGATTGAGAGGAGGCCACCGTCGTGGAGGGACCGCTCCTGCTGTTACGGCGATCGCGGTAATGCTGCTCTCAGAACTCAGTTCCGGTTTCCGGTCCGGGGTTTGCCGAGCTCCGAAGGTATCGATACGGTCTATCCCTTCCTCTATCACCGGTAAGGATCCCGCATTTGACTGAAGAAGGAAGGGTCGAACTTCTGAACTTTGGTCGCTCACAACGCTGCATCTTAGCTCGTTGTGCCCTTTGCCGTTGAGCATTCGCTTTGAAATCATATCGGCATATGCTTCGGGAAGCGACAGCCACGCTGCATTTTCGGCCAGACTTCTTGACTCAGACCCACTTGAATGAGACGTTGGATATAAAATTGTCTCCACCAGGTCAGCTTTCGTGGTTACGGGGCTTACATGGTTATAATGGTTATTGAAAAGGCTGTTGAGATCGTTTGCGTCTGCATGGTGACCAGAAAACCCCATTTCGTATTCCTTTCCACCCCCAGAAGAGTTCGCACTCATAGATGCCATACCATTCATAGGGGTCCCCTGTAGAAATGAGTCTTCAGCTTGGATAAGGTGGGGTTGCTTGTGCGATTGATTCGATATTCCAAGATTAGGAACATCTGTGGGGGTCTCGTATTTTTCTGTTCCAGACACATGATGCGTTATTGACAGTTTCCCTTCATTTTCACTCGTGCTGAGAGCGCTTCGTGCGGATTTCTCGCCGGTAAACGATAGAAAAGGTAATGGGTCATCTCTCCCACCACTGCGGGATGCCTCCGCATCACTCATCGTATCACCTTCCTCTCTCGCTAACGGGAGCACTACCGCTACTTGGTCGAGCCCCACAGCCAGGGAGTCGTCTTTTTCGCTATTCAGCTCAGCGACGTCGGCAAGTTCTACTCCTTCCCAAGGCCTTGTACTATCCAATTTTTGATTTGCCGAGTAAAGTGGTGATTTTTCTTTGATCGGGGTTACACCACTCCCTGCTTCCTGCGTTTTCTCTGTCTCATCATTTCGCACTTGCATGGTCTGTTGAGCAGACTCCTCTCCGTGATCTGGGGTTGGAGGTGGGGGCAGCTTCTTCATAATAATTTTGCTACTGTTGAAATATTGCGTTTCACAATCTGAATTTGTATCGGGAAAATCTTCCATTGATAAGGAATGCCGCCGCTGTTTATCACACGGCGACTGAACATCTTCAATCGTAGCCGTGCTCCACACCCGCACGGCCTCATTTGGCGTTTGATCTAGATTATTTAAAGACCCTTCTCTACCGTTTGGAGAAAGTGACTGAGTTTCTTTTATACGATCTTGGTGCTTACTTTCTGGCACTACCCTTGAGTTGTTTTCACCCGAATCTTCTGATTGATTGATGTTCTTTATATCACCATTGGTCCTACCTTCCGAATTTTCCTTCTCTAGATGGCTGAACACCCCCGCATCCGCAGGCAAAGGGGTCGCTGAATTCAACGGCTGCCGCGTGCTGCTGCCTTTGAGAGGAGTAGTACTTGCACTAGGGGGCTCAGAGACGGGCAACACCGTGCCCTTTACCCCTGTAGTCACTTCTCCCTCAGCTTCACTAAAAGTGATGCTATCTTCCTTCATTGGTGGACTCCTAGGTTTAGTCTGAACTAGTTCTGTGGGTGGGGTGTTAATTTTATGTTTCGAATTTTCGACTCCATGTGGCAGTACTTTCAGCTCCAGAATTGGCTTCTCCATCTCTTCGGGTGAAGCGCCTGCTCCAGGGTGGGACTGTTGATACGAAATAAAGCCGCCGCGTTCTTTGAGCCGCTCCAGCTCGTTCTGCCGGCGTTGCTCTTCTAATCGATCTCGTTGCGCAATTCGTCTTTCATGTTCTTCGTCCTCAGCTGTTGAACCCTGTGGCTGCACGTTTGGAGTCAAGGAGTTAGATTTGAGATCCGAGTCGGATGGCGTTCTCCTCACAGCCGAGTGCTTACCAGATGCGAGATGCTTGTTTTTTGGTGCCACAGAGGGATCCTCCTCATTGGCAGAGTGTTTTCGACTGTGGCAGCAACCCATCTACGTATGATTATGCAGTGCAACACTCTTTTGTTTCTATAGAAATATTTATCGCGACAGTGGGGAGGTAGTAAGGGAAATAGGTGAACGATGCTTATATATATATATATATATATATATATATATAT